ACTCCTGTGGACACCTGGAAACATACTGCACACATTGATTCCATTTTTTGTGAGATAAATAAATTCAAATTTTCTTTTTATATATATTTCTGCCATTATAAATGTGTCACAATACACAGAGGACATTTATACGTTCTCTCTACTTCTAGCCATGGGTGTGCTGTCTCCATAGAGGTGCAGGACTTTCTACTGCAGTGAGAAATGAGCCCGCAGTGAGTTAAAAATGTGACAGAAGCAAAAAAAAAACCTCCAAGAAATGTTCTGCGGTTCAGAGGGTTATTACACTTCTTAGCCACTTCAGGGCAGCGCGAGAAGCTCTAAAGACAATACTGATATATTATTACACTGTGTCGCTGGTACAAGCGGGTTATGGCAGCACACAGCTCCTGTCATCTAACTCCGTCTTTGTTTCCTCCAACTCCTGAGGACAATATCTGACCCTGTGGCGCACAATGTGTTTATCAGAGCTGAAAACTGTTGCCTGCTGCTGGAAATGGGCTTGATAAGAGCCATGAAACAAAACACCAGAGCCGCGGGGCGTTAAACCAGAACCATGAGCTGGAAGATGCTGCAGTACAATGTGGAGCTTTGTCACTGAAAGCAGCCTTTTCGCAAATCTTTGGTCTCTTTAATATAAAAATGTTGATGCGCGGCTTTAGTTCTGACTAACATCTCTGTTATTGGTGTGAACAGTTGGCTGTGATCGGGGTTAAATGTAAAATCTGACCCGCGAGTCCGGCGGCGATGTAAAATCTCGATGACGCCAAAGGCAGCTCTGTGATGATTTTCTGGTTCGTTGCTCTCTGCAGAGGAAAACAACGACTCAGACGGGCGACGGGAGCGTCGAGCGTCTCTCACACTTTGCAAATCGGCTCTTTGTTTCCACCTGGTGCTCTGATGTGATCTAAAAAATCAGGTTTTAGCAGAATAAGTGTGAACGCAGCAGCTCCAGCGCTACAGAAGAACTTCAGACAAACATGTACAATCGTTGTTTTATCCTTTATCTCAATTTATCACCTCTGGTTATGTCACTCGGTCTGCAGACCTCCTAAACTCAAACCTAAGCAGCCTGACAAAGGTCACATTCCAGCCAGCACTTAATCTTTACTGTGACAGTAAACATTTATTGGAAGCACGGCAGGCTCACAGCAAATGATGCGTAACTCTGTGCTTCTTCTTCTAGCACTCCTGACCTCCTTCACACACACACACACACACACAATACTCCGGGCTCTGTGTAAATAAGTGAAGAGAAACCTAAAAATAACAACGAGGTGTTTGGAAATACAATTTCTGACGTGAATTATTCAAAGCACGAGTCTCCGGTTGCGCTTTATGGTGATTCATTCGGATTATTAAAGCACTAAAAATAAAGGATGACAGTTTTGAAATAGATCATTTAACAGATCATTTAATAATCTCGGCGCTTTCACTGATTGCTTGTGTTTTTGTGCTGTAAATTAAGATGTAATGGATCCACTAGAAAACGCCCGAGGCTGTTTCTTGTGTCTGCGCAGTAAACCACCGAGAGGGAGCTGTGGTTTCATTAACATGAAATCAATGTGTTTAAATCAGCCTGTCTGATTTTTAGTAGTGCCGGCAGTATCGTAATTTCTCCCTGACCCGTCTGGTGAAACGTATAAAATATATATATATATAAACTCCTAACCGCGCGGTGCGTCATTAGTTGTATACGTTGATCTAAGATGCACAAAGTGTTTCGTTGAGTTGCTCGTGCGCATGTTGTGTTTACATGGTGTCAGGTAGAGGTGAAGGTGAGAACAGTTAATCACCTGTATGATGCTAATTATCCCATTTGTTGTTCACACCAGCAGCGTTACCAGAGGAACACGTTGGTGTGTTTCTACTTGTAGACGTGCTTTGGCCTCGTAATGATTCATTTAAAACTGTCATCGACATGTACTGCACTGGTTCACTGAAAACTCCTCTACACTGGTTATTTATAGTCACGTATTCTGACAGAACTGACTTAAAACGTGTAGCCTATATTTGTATGCACTTAAAACACGAACTTCACTGTTGGAAATTTTCCATATTTTTCATACTTTGTTTAAATTGTAGGTCTGTCTTCTTAAGGTTTCTGTGATTCTAAATTGTCCGTAGGTGTGAATGTGAGTGTGCTTGGTTGTCTGTCTCTAAGTGTAGCCCTGTGATAGACTGGTGACCTGTTCAGGTGAACCTGCCTTCACCCTGAGTCAGCTGGGATAGACTCCAGCCCCCCGCGACCCCAGTGAGTGAGGATTAAGCGCTGTATAGATAACAGATGGATGGATCCTTGTTGTGCCACTAAAACAGCTCTGACCCGGTGTGATTTGACCGATGCTCAATCAGATAGAGATGTGGAGAGTTTGAAGGTCGGGTCAGTGCCTTAGACTCTTGGTCGTGTTCCTCGAGCTGCACTGATGTTGCAGTGGAGGGTGAGCTTGGTCTAAGACGTGTGCGAGATGTCACCCTAGTGAGAATTAGGGTGTATAGAGGATGGATGGATGGATGGATGGATGGATGGATAGTTCGACATAATATCTTTTACTTTAGTTGGACATTGTATTAGTTTATATAATATCTGTAAAATTCCAGTACTTTTACTGCAGCGTGACGTCGTATTAATTCTACACAATATCTATAAATGACAGTACTTTTGCTATACCTGGATATTGTATTAGTGCTGCATAATATCTATTTAATTACAGTGCTCCAGATTTAGTGGGACATTGTATGAGTTTGACATAATATCTGTAAAATGACAGTACTTTTGCTATATCTGGATATTGTATTAGTTCCATATAATATCTATAAGTTACAGTACTTCTACCTTAGTTGGACATTGTTTTAGTTCTAGATAATATTCGCAAAATTACAAATGTAATGGTAGTTGGACATTTTATTAGTTCCGTATATATCTGTAAATTACAGTATTTTTACTGTGTGTCATTTGTTTTGTAGGTATTTAAACATAAAACAAAGTGCCAGACAGATCAAAAGTAAAGGAGCAAGAAGAACATCAATGCTCACAAATGTCATGACAATCCACCCAACAGTTTTGGTGTTAGCTTCACGGCAGCTCCAGAGCAGGTCAGACGTTAGGATTCAACCTCTGGGCACCATGAACGTCTCTAGAAAACAACCTGCTCAGTACTTGTAGAGATATTTCCATCTGGACCAAAGTGATGGACGGACTGATCAACACGAGCAGCAAAATATTTACTCGTCTCGTGATAATGTGTCCAGAGATAGAAAACAAACTGGTTTCTACTTTACCGAGAGTCAATCAGCTCTACTATAGATTTACCCGCGACTGACTCTTTCCCCTCCGTTGAACTCGAAGCACTCTGCTAATCAAAAGAAACTGTGCTGTAATTACTTACCACGCCGGTTGATTGGAGCCGTATTATCATGCAGCTGAGTAAAATAGGTTATTCTTTATTTTGTTTCCCGCTCTCTATCTCCCTGCCAGATTTTAGCAAGTCGGCTACCTTCCAAAAATTCGCGAGCAGTTCCAACGCGCTTCCTGAGTTGTGGCCAAGAGTTCCTCACTTTTGGCTAGTGGCGTGTGCTTACTTTTACTTTGCCT